TGGAATTTTACATCTCCAATTGTTAAAACTATTGTTTTACATTTTTCATTATAGCTCTGTTTTAAACTTTAAAAAAGCAACAAGTTTAAAAGAAGCAAAAATGTTTGATATAATGTATACAATTAAGTTTGTTGTTCTTAATATTCAAGTATTCCTAAAATGAGAAACGTAAATATGCACTAAGATGGAAATCTATTTGCCACATTTAACATGGACTTTAAGTATCTTGTAAATCATAATTAATGTTTGTTATTGGTTAACAGTAGAACATGTATTTGCTGATCACTATTCTTGCTTGGAAATTGATGGACTCGTTTAACAAAAGACGCAGTGTAAAACCTGGACTGGCATTTGCCTCTGATTTTCCTAGATGTTAATGATCTAACATACAACTTGTTTATTTAATTGGCAAATAATCTAAGCTTTTAAGAAGCGTCTTTCGATATTTCTGGCTGAAAGTCATAGGGCATATGGCAATTTGCATAGTAACTCCTGCAGTGCATAGTGTACCTTTGCATTGAATAATAATGCCAACATTAAGAGGTGCTGTTCAGTTTGTGAATTGATTGCCTCAAGTAGAAAACACATTCTAAATGCTGAAGAATGTGACCATTAGCCCTCCATGAAGTTATCAATTATAAAACGTTTTAAAAATCAAGTCTATTTAATGTGGGATTTGTATGGGATTTCTTAATCTTTTATTTTTCAAAAATCAAAATATTTGCCTGGGGTGCCATGATTTCTGAATTACCAATATATTCTTGAGTGGTTTATTTCCTACTTTCTATGTATCTATATTTTGTCCACTCACAACAAAGAGGGATACAAAGAAATAATGGTTCAGTGAGTATCTGATCAAAGAAAACTCAAAGGCTTATTCAGAACACACTAGAGGGCTATGCCCCGCGCTCATTAGGCTAGTGAAGCCGCCCCCCCTCCACCGCCGGTCTCTGGGGGTTGGCAGGCCCAGCTCTCTTCTCCCCCCTCCCGGCTGCTGGAGAAGGGAGAGCTGGGGCTGCACCAGCCCAGGCCTCTCGGCCCCCTCACCCCACAGGCTTGGTCTCTCTGCCCATCTGGCTACTGGAGGAGGGCCAAGGTGACGCAGGTCATGGTCTCTCGGCCGCCAAAATATAGCCAGGGTCTGGCCAGCCGCAGCACCTACGGTTCTCCCTGTGCTGCTGGGGAAGGAAGGGGAGGGGCCAGGCAGGCAGGGGCCACTGTGCCCAGGCTACAAGTGGGGAGGGGGGACTTGCTCCTGTGGACACAGTGATGTGATGACATCACTGATATCCAACAGGAAAAGATTTGTCTGTGTATATACAGAGAGAGAAAGACTGACTATATTAGATGATTTGGGCAAATATGATGCTGCTGATACAAAGTGTAAAAGTGATATCACAGAGAACTGAAATCCTGTCAGGTTTGGCAAGGATGACAAGTCACTGTATTCCTCCTCTAATGAACCTTGTCCATGAACTTGCGAGAACATTTCTCAGTGAGAAATTTACTTTCATGCCAATTCAGTCCTTGGCTTCTTGGCTAAGACTGTTAACTGTGCTGTTTGTGGGTGACAGGAATAGGTCCACTAGAAAGTGAACTTAGGTCCCCCATGGCCCCAAATAATTTTACATAAGCCATTAAAGAACCATTACATAGCAGTGAGTTTTTCTATTACTGACCAAGGTTGAAATTCAACCAAACCACCACTTGATACTGCCCAGCCATTTATGGTTTGGAGGAAAAGGAAGAAAGTAATTTTAGGATGAGTGCACCAGGAAGAAGGAAAATCCTGAAGGAATGACAGGGCAAATCTAAGCACATATAGTTAAAACCCCAAGAATATTTTAATATTAAAAATCTGAACAATTTACAAATATGGTTTTCAGCCATATCGTGATCCTGTCTGTTTCCCCAAGCTGAACAGGAACAGCCTGGGATA